TTGAACCAACAAATTTGGATCTCCCAAACTCCAGATATAAAATTTACAAAACAGCATGAAATCTGGATTTAAATGAGCTAGCCTACTCTCTACAGTCGCTGACCGGTGGGACCCGCGAAACAGTAGACCCCACATGTCAGTGACACAGAACAGAGCAGCGGCGCTACACAGCGTTGGCGCGGCCAGAGCTCGTCGACGGCGAGTTCGCCGGCGGTGACATCTACACATCAGGACCTCCACGACCTCCCGCACCTACTGGTACAACAAAAAGGGCCGATTAACGAAGCTAGGTACTACGGCGGCGGCCATGGCGGCGCGGAGGTGCGGTTCGACGGCGCTACGCCGGTGGTGACCATGGCGGCCCAATCAAATACATGTACGAGCATCTACCGACCATATAGAACCTAGCGCACAAGAAAACACCAAGAATGGTGGACGGAAATGGCGTGGCCACAACGACGAGCTCGACGGCGGAGCTTCGACGAGCTCGTGTGCGGTGTAGAGGCTTTACCGGCGTGGTCAGAGAGCACGGTGGACGCGGTGAATCACGGGGTGCGGTGGAGTGGTTGCGGTGGTGGATGGCGAGACGGAGCTTAGCCGGTGCCGAGAATGGCGACGGCGGACGCCGACATCATGCGCCGTGCTTCAAGCAAGGCGAAAAGCTACTGGCGACAGTGGAGCGAGAAATGGAAATGGCAAGTGTGGCTCAAGACGGCGGGTCTTTGGGGTGTTAAAGCGGCTCTGCCCGACACACCAAGACTGGCAGATCGCCGGCGACGCTGCGGCGCCTCCACTCCACGCGCGCTGCGTTGGCTGGGTCGGTGACCCATCGACGCTGTTTGATTCAAATTTATTCAGACACACCACGATGGACGCTTTGACAAATGGTTTTTCACACGGCGATGTATCAGCTAATCTGTGGCTCCAAAGCGTAAATGATCTAAACGACTCTTGTAGACCTAAGTACAAGCTCTAATTCGTATTCAATGAACTCGTGCTAAGTCGCAACCAAAACCAAGTTATATCATCTCAAAGTTGGGCTGTCAGCACTGTCAGTTAAAAGAACTTAGAAGATTTCGCTAAGTGATGAAAACAGTCATTTGATGATTTTTGCATGCTCTATAAGACTAAGCTATGCACTTTATTATTTCCTGACCCAAAAATAAAAGTTGTTCTCCATGACAAATACTACAACTTTGTTTTAGTGACCACATACATGCATAGCCTCTATCACATGATTCAAACATGGTCAAACCTAGTACATTCAAATGATGACTTGTTCATGAACTATGACTTAGTGATCCATTTAGCCCTAGCCATGAATACCAAAGTTGTTCATAATGATACTCTAAACATGTTTAAGCTATTTGCAAGGTCACACAATCATTTACATGTATTCACTCATGATCATATGCTTATATTCTAAGAAACATGAAATAACAAGCAATGTTGCATATGTTTCAATCTCATGTTTCAATTGTAAATGCTCATATATGAATGCTCGATGCTCATGCTCATGCTATGCAAGTCAATTTATGCAAGGCTAACACCTAGGGTGTTACACCAAACACCCCCTAATTGAGTCTTAGAACATTTTAAAATTATATCACCTATAGGGAATAAAAACTTACACGCTAATCAATTATGACACATACTTTAGCTATTATGGCAATTATACTAATCAAATTATGTCGTGTCTGAAGTTGCAAAATAATTTTTTTACCATACCAAATAGATCACACATGCAACAATTAAATCTAGTAAAAGATTTTTTATATCTAAAAGATTCTTTATTTATCCTATATATATATATATATATATATATATATATATATATATATATATATATATATATATATATATATATATATATATATATATATATATATATATATATATATACCTATTGCCTCCTAGGAAATAGTAATAGATGATTCTATCCATACGATCTCATTAAATGAACGACTCATATATAATCCTTTGGGAGTACCTTATATATAAAAATATGTAGTTCCTTGTTCTGAAATTCAATACGAGCTGAATAAACTATATACTTGTGGTGTTAGTTTTGGGATAAACCAGAGCGCTTGTGCAAACCATGACTACATACTTTTCTAAAGCAATATTTTCAAAACTTTTGGTGTTAGTTTTGGATTGGCAGAAGCCCAACGACAAAGGAAGGTTGTTATCAAAAAAACGACAAAGGAAGGTGACCTCCATGGTTAATACATGGGTGAGTTCAGTGAAGACGACCTCCATTATCAGATACTTGCCATGTATAGCGCGACGTTGAGACACCACGCGTGCGTTGCGTCAATTGCTCTCCTGGGAGTTTGTCTTTTCTTTTGCGAACAATCAAATGAACCGCGAACTCGATCGGACAGGAGATGAGAGACAGCCATCTCGATAGCGCGTCCTCTGTGGTTCCTAAACAGCTAGTCTAGAAATAATTTTATTGGCTATCAAGAGGAGAGATCAGTTAGTGATTTCAAAATAGCTAGTCTAGAACGATCTTCGAGAAACAACTCTCATAGCTCGCACAATCCTTCACTATAATGTTTTTTTTAATTATTTCTAAGTCTTATTTAGCTAGCTAACAGCTCGCACAATCCTTCACTACAATGTTTTTTTTATTTCTAAGTCTTATTTAGCTAGCTATTTATAAGTTGTCATTAAGAACGTTCTTATCCTCCAAGGCGCAGCTGCCAAGCACCACGTATGGTCGTGCACGGCCACGTGCAGGCTATGCGACGGTATATAGCCCTCGAATTCTAGAGCCTCAAAACTAGAGCCTATCAGATAATGATAATTAATTAATATACAATAGCATGTGCTGACCATGCGAAGTCCACGATGACGAGGAGTTGTGCTGAAGGGTGTTCTTTTATCCATTCAAATGCGTTTGACCTAATTTTAGAACGTTAATCTTGCGACATGTTTATACTTTGGCTCCGACGAGGCTTTATTCGTCTAGAGCATCAGTTATCAACCAATACCACTAGAGAAAAAGATGATGGAATGACTTGAATAGAATATTATTTATGTTTTATTTTATATTTTTTCATATGTAATTTGAGGATGTGTATTATGCCTAGTTTTAATATAGTTTTTCCCTAAGCTTCCAGGGGGGGGGGGGAGGAGCTCTTTTACGGGCTGTTCGGCTGGTGTTAATGCCGGCTGATAAGTTGGCTGAAGCTAATTTGTTGTGAGAGAAAAATACTGTAGATTCTAGCTGATAAGTTCAAGCGAACAGGCCTGTACGAGTCTACAATATGTACCTTGTTTTCCGCGAAGTATTCTCTTTTTTTATGTCACCGTGGAGACTAGGAGTGAGACCATGGAGGAGAAAAGGGATACATGAGCAGGGGGAGGGGATTAATTAGGATGAGATGGTGGTAGGCCTCGTAGTACTTCCTCCGTTTCAAATTATAAGTCATTTTAATTTTTTTGGTTCATCCATTTTGCTATGAATCTAGACATAATATTATATCTAGATGCATAGCAAAATAGATGTACCAAAAAAATCAAAACAATTTATAATTTGGAACGGATGGAGTAGTTAATATTGTTACAACATTTACAGTTACCTAGACCTATTTTATGGAGTTAATTAGCTTGATATTGTGGATGTTAGTGTATGTTTCCATAAACTTAGTTAAAATAAAAAAAAGGACTGGCTTAGGATAAAACTAATCAAAACTCTCAGTGGATGTAGTAAAACATTTGTGCTAATTGAAACTTTGAAACTAGAATTATTTTATCCTAGGAATAACCTTTTTTTTTGCGACGTACCCTAGGAATAACTAGGGCACAACAAGCAACTCTATCTATTTTTTCTCGATAAAATGCCACGATTTTACTTAGTACTCCGTTCTAAACTGTAGGTTATTTTAGTTTTTCTAGATATATATACTCCATCTATTCTAAATTATAAAATATTTTATCTTTTCTAGATACATTGTTTTTATTATATATCTCGATATAGTGTATATTTAAATATATAACAAAACTATGTACTAGAAAACATGAAACATCCTATAATTTAATTTAGAATGGATGGAGTGGTTTTTATTATGTATATAGACTAGACACAGTGTATATTTAGATATATGAAAAAAGCTATATATCTAGAAAACTAAAAGGACTTAAAATTTGTAACGGAGGGGAGTAGTTACTTTCTTGAAACAAAGCAGGACGAAGCGACTTTCCTGAGGGCTGATTCGTGCGTTAAGTATCCGGCAAGTTATGCAAAGCGCGTGAGGGAAAGAAGCACCGATAGGATTGGATTGGAGATCATCAGCTAGGAAAATGTTTGAAGCTAAAATAGAGGGGTTGGATTCGTCTCGTGCCTTCCACAGGACAGGATCCTCTTAATTGGCAGCTGTGACCTGATCACGGCCACGCCTATTGAACCCCTCTCGTGTAGTCGTGTTGTTAACGAGGAATCTTGGAGCCGACCGATCGAACATAAAGCTAATAAAGCAAGACATGTCACGGATTTGACACGAGGATGACGATGTTTGTCAAACCTTACTAGAGAGAGAGAGAGAGAGAGAGAGAGAGAGAGAGAGAGAGAGAGATCAAATTGGCGTATCAGGCCGCGTACTGATACTGAATGAACCTCTAAACCCTGCGTGCAATTCACGTCGTGAGCAAAGCAACCTTCCAACTGTAACTGAACTGAACAGCAGGTGCCAAGGGTTGCTGCGAAACGACGCTGTGTGTAACGCTTTCGTTTGCCGACTGGGTGATCAAACCCTGCGCACGCGCTATAATCTATAAATACATCTCCTCCTCCTCCTCCTCCTCCTCCTCGCTCTCTCTACCTCTCCGCGGTCCACACAGCCAGGGACACTTGGGGTCGAGTCGATCGAGCTCGCCGGAGATCACTTCGTCCAAGGTCGGTTAGTTCCTGCTACCTGACTGATATTAGTTGCTGGGATTGTTGTTCTGCTCTGACTCGTTGGTATTTGGCCTCGGCAGAAGAAGTTTGCGCAAACATGGAGCAGCAGCCCAGCACCAGCACCACCACCACCACCACGACGGAGATGTGGCAGTGGCAGTGTGGCACGTGCCGAGCTGATTGGAAGATGCTGCGCCAGGTGACGACCACCTGCTGCCCACACGGACACGGCAGCCGCTGCTTTCAGGGTCAGGGTACTCCGCCTCCGCCTCCACCGTCTCCATATGCAGGAAACCCTGCTCCTCACTGCCACCCTGCTCCTCACTGCCACCACCATCACCATCGCCAGGAGGAGGTCAGCATCCTATCTACTACTACACCAGTTCTTGTAGTAGCTTCCGTTTGTAGCTTACTGTAGACTTCTATGCTAATATGCTGCAGGGTACCAGCAGCCGGGCTTTGGCGGCGGATGCGGAGGGTTCCAGCGCTGGGCGTCACACCATCACTACTCTGAATCCTGCTGCCCCTCCCGTCGTCGCGGAGGTCTGCTGGGTCCCGGACCCCTACCTGATGGTGCAGCAGCTCAGAGAGTTCGAGTCCCTGAACGACGAGCTGGTGGCGCTCAGGGTGCAGCTGCAGGAGTATGCGGAGGAGATCCACAAGAGCAGCAAGGACGACATCAACGCCGGGACCGGGATGAACATGAACTGGCTCCTCGCTCTCCCGGCCAACGTCAGGGACGTCGTCATCTTGGCCAGGGACGTCATCGAGTCTTTCATTGCCATCTCCACTAGCGCACCACCAGCGAATTAAGCAGCTATATAGCCTATTGTCATGTGGATATTATATTGTATTATACGGTTCTTCGTGCTTGTTGCTTATTCCGCCTGGACGCCTGGTATTAGGTAGATTTGCAGGTTATTATGTGAGTCTGGTATAAATAAATTATGAGGATACTGTTGCTGCTGAATTCGTGAGTTGCGAATTCAATCTACTACTAGATCCGTTTAAGTCAAATCTATGTTAACTTGGACCAAGTTTGTAAAAGATACATTAATCAATATTTACTATATTATACCAAACATGAAAATTTCCATTTCATGTGTTTTTCATGCGAAAATGGACCTATTCTTGTGAAATTCACGTATGAGTGAAATTCCTTCATTCCAAAGAGTCTCTAAAATTATTTGATGATGTATATGTTAGTGCATTTTTTTAATAATCTTTTAGTGTCTTGTATTCCTCCCTCCAGAAAGAATTTAAGTCTCGCTCCATGTGAAGTCAATCGATCTTAAACTTGATTAAAATAATATTAATATTTGTATCTCTAAATAGGTTTATTATAAAAACTATATTCTTTAATTAGTCCAGTAGTACTTATTACACATTATAAATAATATTAGTTTTTTATATACATTTGATCAAATTTAAGATTAATTAACTTCTCGAACATCAAGATTTACATTCTTTTAGGGATACAAGGCGTAGAACCAGTTCATCCCATGTGCATAGATAGGGAACCCAACTAAATCTAGCAATATTATAAAAAATATATTCTTTAATTAGTCCAGTAGTACTTATTACAAATTATAAATAATAATAGTTTTTGTATATACATTTGATCAAATTTAAGATTAATTAACTTCTTGAACATCGAGATTTACATTCTTTTATGGATAGAAGGCGTAGAACCAGTTCATCCCATGTAGATAGGGAACCCAACTAAATCTAGCAGGTGAATTTAACACTAATCCCCCCATGCTAAAATAACTATACATCTCGTGTTTGACTAGATTTATTTATATAATATGTTTGTATATGTTTGATCAAAGTTAAAAAGGGGTTGACTGTTGCCAAAGCTGTGAGACTATCACTGACACGTCAAGTCCATGCCACGAAAACATTTTTAAGAATCAAACATATCCATCATTGCTCCTGAATTGTAAGAAGTACACTGGTTCAAACAAATACTCATCCCAACTTCGGGATCAAATTTGAGCGCGTGAATAAGCATCCTGCGTTTCGGATTGATTTGGCAGGGAATTAATTACTTTGGTAACCAACATTGAACTAATTACTTTGGAATGCACGGGCAGAACAAATTTTCTTAGGCATAATAAAGCCAAACCGTGGCCTCCATCCAAATGGGGCCAAAAATAGTTGGGCAGGGTCAAATATTGATCTGGTACATTAGGATTAGGGTAAGAACCAAACATAATAGCACCTCCAACCTGTAGTCCTCACCAAACATTTTGGCTAATGCCTATTGAAAATTCTAACAATAAGAACTAGAATAATATGGAAAATTTAACAGCAAAACCATTCAACGGTTGAAAACATAATTCATCAATAAGTTTAACAGCAAATTCTGATATCACAGGACTAACTCCGAACAAGAAATTGCAGTAGGAATCTAATCTAACTGACGCAACGAGAGCATGACAGAAGTGTGCGCATTTAACAGAATAACAACAGACAGAAAACAAGCTTAAGCTTCAACACAGTTCCAACTTCCAGGTAGGACTGGATGATGGATTCACTATCTTAGACATTCATCGCACCAGAGTGGTAGTTGTCAAGGTCCTTGTCCAATTGTTCGGCTGATTTCTCCACATTACCCTTGCGCACATAGACATAGCCACGGCCACGGCCCTGAACAAAGCTACTACGGCCACGGCCGCGTCCGCGGCCGCGCACTTGCCCTCGCCCTCTTTGAGCGAAACCACCATGCCCTTGTCCTCCTCTTTGAACAAAACCTCCACGCTTCCACCTGGACATAGCACAATGATTACAAAAAGGTAATGCACGTACTGTGAAATAGAAGAGCATATGTAGTTTGTATTTTGCACTCGACTATGAATATATGGTCAAAGTTTGTTTGCAAGTTGATTTCTAGACAACCTTAACAATGAAAATGATGTCCGGTAATTGCATGTGTTTTTGTTGCCAAAAAGGAAATTAAATACTTTTTTAGACATAATAAACATACAAAAAAAATTACTTCAGGTTACATTGGAGTTAGTTACTTGTCACTGTTGTGCCATGTTGGTAGGTAATACCACAAGTAGAATGCCACACTTATACACCACACATGGGGAAAAATGAAGATCAAATCTGACGCAACCATATGCGGTTTAAAAAAATTGGGGAAAAAATCACAAGTTTTGGCAACTATAAGTTGACTACTAGTTTGAAATAGCTATTTCTGTAACATTTTTACAAGTTATAGGAGGAAAGCTATTCTATTTGTATATGTGATTAGCCTAGAAAATATCTAGCCATGAGAACCTACCCAGGAAGCGAACTGGATGGGCCAGATGCACCTAGTCCAAACCCACTTCCACCAGGCCTGAAAAGAAACACATGTCAGGAATAAAATGAAGAAAGTTGCTACATGACTCATGAATCCAACAGTGAAGGCAATGCCAAAGAAGAGCCATACATCATAACAACTTCTCTCTGCCCTCTTCCGCTTGCACCAGGAACAACACTAATTCGGGGTGCGGCAGCAGCTGATAGACCCAAATCAGCTCCTATTACTTCAATCTTCATTGCCTTCCCATCAAGGCGCACATTATTATATCTCTTCAGTGCTGCAAGAGCTTCACTTCTCCTGGTGAATATCACCTCAGCCGAACCCTGTTCGACAATATCCATGAACAAACAAGAGAGTAAATTTAGTACAGATAGCACATTTCTGTTCTGTTAAGCAATCACAATCACAATGCCAATATATTATAATTATCGTTTGACAATCTAAAGTTTACAACTTCCAATCTGAAATATGGCATTTAGGTTTTCCAGATTTCGAATCATAGTCACAGGGATAAAGGCCAATTGGTTGAAGCCACGTTCCATGACCCTGGGACATTGTCCCCATTCAAGGACCAGGGTCGAACAGGGTCGCTGTCCCATTGAGTCAAGAATATATCACAAGACAAATATGATCTGTATTGACGAACATGTGAGAGAAGAGAAGGGGGAGCAGAGGAGGTTGCTGTGGCCAAGATGCTGGAGCTGGAGGCAGAGGGCTATTCTCCACGAGCATCAGATAGGACCGCCAGTGTGGGATATGTTTCAGTAGATAGACAACAAATTAACAGGTCTCCAACAAAACAGATAGCACAGAAGGGAAGAGGAGGCCAGGGCAATTGAATTTGCTAGTCATGGTGTTTGAAACTGGTCAGAGGTGACCGATTTGTGACTGGCAGTGCTAGTTTGTCTGAGAGAAGAAAGAGAAGCTGAGGCCAAATGGGGCAAGGCGGCAGTGTGTAGGCAAGAGACTATACGAGGCTTAGGGTTATGATGGCAGGCTGTATGGGCCAGCACATAGCAGTCCATTTAAATATTTCTTTCTCTTCTTTCCTCAAGTTTATTGGCAAGCAATATTCAAGATTAGTTGGAGTCACTTGGTCTTCAACCCTCGTTTTTTAGACAGTCATGACTCACTTCTCTCAATCCCTGAATTGCGGCCCAATCAACCCAGACTTTTAGCGACTGTGTCAAACCTTTTTAGTTTTAGCAATCAATAGATCATATAGGTTAAAATGCGGTTTATGTTACTAGATTCATCATGGATAACACTTTCACTAATTGACATGAATATTTCAGTTTCTTCTGCAGATTTAGTGAATTTTCCATTCACAGATCCACAGCATTTGCAGCTACGCGCACAGATATTTGCTTATGTAGCTCTTATGTGGGTTATAATTCTCTTATGCTACTGGATCAATGGAACCTCGAGGTACAATATTCTGTGCTCAAATGCAAACAAGGATCATAGATATTTTCTTGGATGAAATATACTGTTCAGAAGAATGTTTTATTGGAGATCGAGGGTTCTTATTAGAAAGGCAGGTGTACAATGTTTTATTGGAGAGATCAAGGGTTCTTATTAAAAAGACAGGTGTACTTCGTTCATCTGGTATGGAAAACATAAGCAGTTGCCTCGAGTCTTTATCAAAAGCCGTATCGTTACTAGTGGTGGGTTTGAATCACTTGATGCAGTTTCTAATGTATCCAGAAAAGAATATTTACGATTAATGTTTGTTCATCAAATCAGCAAAACATCACTTCGGATTTATCTCAAAGAAATTCAACTGCGATCAATCACAGGGATATTCTAAGCTTCAAAATATATAACTTTCTATTTGAAATAACAGATATCACTAGTCCAAGTCCCATATTGTAGACAGTGTCAATATCCTAATGCACTTAAATTTGGGATTAGAGGGAGTAAGATATATAACGGAAACATCTGAATACTTTGTACGTTTTGGGCAGGTAGAGGTTGAATTAAATAAACTGAGAATTACCGTTGTCCTTACTAACATTACAAATGCACGTTTCAATTTGATATTCTTTCAAAATACATTACTTTTCTTCGATGCACACGAGTAGTTTTACTTTATCCGTAGGTGGATGGAGGCGGAGAGGGATGCATGTCCTTACTACTGGCAATATGCCAGAGAACAGAAGGCAACATCATAAAGTAAACAAATAAAAACAGCTGAAATTTAAAAGGAAAAACTTGCAGGAACTCTGGACAAACAAAGGAACCAATGGAGTGTTTTGAATGACTAGTATGGTGCATCAGACTAAATTTAAGTAGGTTATAAATACCACATATCCATCCCACCAAACTTCATTACAATCAACCAAACTAATATCCAAACCCTAAACGTGCAAGTAACATTCCAGTACACATATTAAGGCAAAGAGGCTTGTGTTTGCAACACAATATGAGAACATAACCAAGCATGAATATTTAAAACAGCAGATAAATTGTCAAAATTATCATCTGTGTTTCCTATTTTCTCCACTTCAGTCAGTTAATATACAGCATCTTGCTTTTTTTCTCCATTTTCCTATGTCAATATGCCAAAAGTACAATGCCAAAGATATGTCTAGGCGCTAGTCAGAGGCTGCCTGCCTGCCTTGTGCCTAGTAATTTTTTGAAACATGGGTCAAAATTATCATAAAACTACATATTTAAATTTGAATATAGAAGTAAAGATTCAAAGTGTCAGTTTCAAGAGCTGCATATTCAAACATTGTATCATAGGACTACATGTTTGGTGTGTAAGGTATGGCAAAACTAAAAATTCCACCACCCAGCAAAAAATCTGTATTTATGTGATACATTTTTTCCCGAACAACGCAGGAGAGCTGCATGTCATTTCATTGAGAGAAAAGAAATACAGAGACAGGCCAGTCGGCCTACTGCCAAAATATCATATGGATTATAGACACCCCCACAAACATAAAAACATGACCAATGCCAGCAATCATATAAGAGTTCAATTGTCTAGGATATGTGACCTCAGGCGTATTTATATGATACATTGCACACCTGAGTGTGTAGTTTTGTGGTACTATTTCATCAAAATATGTAGTTTTGTAATACTTCGATATGTTAAATACAGTTTTGTGATACAACTTCTTAATTTTGTAGTTTTGCTAACTTTACACACTTTTTAATTTAATTACAAAACACTCAATTGTGTTATAGAAAAAAACAAACAAGGTTTAGTGAGACTCACAGTTGGGTGTCTGTAACTGTCGTAATGAACAGCACAGTGCTTCAAATGGCCCATTTCTGAAAAAAGCTCCTGAGGCAATATTGTGGATAGACAGAGATCAGCTTCAGGAATGCCGAATATGAATGGGACTGTCAGATGTTGTATTACAAAGATGAACATCCAGCTACCTGTATATCTTCCCTTGTCACTCCATAGTGCAAGTTTGAAATGTACAGCTTTGTACCAGATTCTATCCCAGAAAGCCCAGCTGCCACCATGCTATCCTCAAAGAGATCATGTCTCCACACAAAACCCTTTGCTTTATTGAATGACTGTGATATTCCATATCATGCATGTCCATGTTGTGACGAGCAAGTATTAGCATAAAATCACAAAACTCATCAATCCATGGTACTTGATGAAGCAACTAGCATCAGCAAAATCATAAAACCCTATACCATTGCACACAATGGTGCTATTTCTGTATACATCAAAGGCCTTATCCACAGATTATTAAGTGGCCCATCAGCATGCTGACAATGAGTAGAGACAATGTTTTCAGTTTGAACTTTGAAGCATTAGCCAGCATAAACCAACATATGCCTCACCACCCAACATACTCGGCCGAAAAGGGACAGGTCCCTGGTAATTCGAAATGAGAAAGACATTGGATCCTCTTCGAAGCTCCACAGTTAAATGGCCACAGATATGGTCTCAATGGAACGGTTGGGCTGTCCCATTTTAATAAGTTTATAGCCACTTCTTGTCAGGTACCTACTACAATTTGGATTCTTGAAGGTAACAGAAAAACAGTTATAGTTTTGTGCTTGCCTTGGCAATAGCAAATGATGAGGACCGAGTATTAACACCAAGTGGCCTTCGCGAAGGCACCCCTAGTCCCCTTCCACGGAAGGTGCCAGTACCACGCCCACGCCATGAACCACGAGCCAATCTTTGGCCATCACCTCTGCCTCGGCCTCCTTGTCCCCTGCCTCTTCCCCTTCCCCTCCCGTTTCTGCTCTTAATCAAATCATCCAGTGGAACATCCAGAGATGTAGCCATTCAAGACAAAATTTGAGGCTAAAAAGTTAGGAACAAAACCCTGCACAACAGAAAACAATTTCAGTATCTTGATTGTTCAGATGAACACAGTATACCAAGCAAGCACACGTGCACAGAACAAAGATAATCGCAGCCTTAAGCTTTACTTCCATTTTTCACTTATTTGGAAAGGTCAAGAGCTTAACATTATATCAAAAAGTTTGCAGCTAATCATTTTGCAGTTTAAAGAAAGGCCCAACCTTGGACCTTATATGATCAGGATACATCGTTAGTTATTTCCTTATTCTTCCACACTTATCATCATGTGTTTCTGATAAACATGTCTCTGACTTTCCGCACATAAACAATTTAGTGAGATGATCATAAGCTTCCAAGTTACAGTTTATAAAGTACGGCATCACCTAAAAAAGCTCAGTATTTTTTTTTAAAAAAAAAATCACAGTATCAGGCACCAGCAAAGCATAGAAACAAAAAGTCAGCCTTATTACAATAACCTTTCCATGCCTCTATGTTACCTATGTTATGTTCTCTTATTATTCGAACACAGGAACAAACCAAAGACACTCCAAATAAAGAATTTGCACAATGCTGCATATTGATATAGGGACAAAATTATCCCCACGTTGTAAGCTAAACTCGAATAATACAAGCTAAGGGAGTCTATCACTCTTTTGATCTGTAGCACTAACACATGTTTTCTAATAGTTAGACAGTTATGGCCTACATCCTAACATCTTTCTTTCTCCTATTGATGAAATAATATGCAGCTCTCCTGCGTTTATGAGAAAAAAGGGAGCTAGTCACAGTAAGCAGGGTGGCATGATGAAATGAGATAGCTACTAGCCAGCAATGCCAGAAATTCATAACACCTAAGCTTTGAAGCCTTAATATGGAGCACAAGAACCTAGACCACACTGCAATTAACACAAATGCAACCAACCTTAAAAAACCATCATGATAAGAAGCTATTTGATAAGCTAACCAAGCCAGCAGGCAGATACACTTCTGCTGGTGAAGTGTGAAACGTCTGGCATTTCCTTTGACCGCCGCCAAAATATAGCGGGTTTTGAACTTTACTATAGGACTCAACTTGAAAATACTAACACATGCATGTATTTTTATGTTGAAATGCTTTTTTTTCTACGCACTTGACAGTAAAACTAGTTTGGATAAAACTGACGTTAGTAAATTTAAACTGAAACAAGGTCCTTATGTCAAATGTTGTGCACTCCTACGTACATGGTAAAAATAAAAATAAGCTACAGCAATTAATAGCTATTGTTGACTTGAAGCATTAAACATGAATCTCCAAGTGCACACAAAATGATTTGCATTAAGCCATGAACACACACCAATCTGCCAACTAGTTACTGCAAGTGCTCCTTCAATTAGATTTCGAAAGGGACCGGTGGTATGGGTTAGTATGCAAGTTAGCATAGCTAGCTACCACCTCAGTTTGCGAACTTCATCAACAATGCATCAACACAGTCCCTAGTCTGAACACTACCGTGGAGAAATTTATGGATCTACAAGTAGCTACAGATCAATCATTCTGCGATGCCTAAATCAATCAAAGTATTTTTGAAAAAAAAAAGAGAAAAGAGATCCACGCCACGCACCTGCGGCGACGGGCCAGACGGAGTGAGGAGGCAAAGGACTCGCGAGGGGCTTTCTGGTGGCGACAGCGCAAAGTGCAGTTTCAGCGGCGGGTGAGTCAATCGAACGCAGAGGAGTGCGTGGGTGGCCCGTTCCGCAGCCGGCCGCCGGTAGCGAGACGAGATCGCTATAACCCTAGTCGCATGAGGGTTCGCGCGCGGGTGGGGGACGCGGGAGAAACGAGGTGCGGTGTGTTGGATGACCCGGGATCGGCCGACTTCCGGAGGGGTTCTCCCGGAAGCGCCGAGATTGGTTTTGGCCGGCGACTCGACGAGTCGTCTCCTCGTCGAATTGAGTGAGAGAGGGGAGTTGGCGAGGACGGCTTTGGTTTGGTGTGGTGGGGCCACGGGGATTGGGTTCTTTTCTCTGCGTGGTTTCCCGGTTTCCTCCGGCGGCCGGGTGGGTCCACTGATTCATGAGAAGGGGAGGGTCCATTTGTGATTACAGAGAAGTGGAGAACCAGGACGCGCAAGCTCGAATCGAGCGTCCATCGACAACCGCCATTTGCGTTTCCAGCCCACCATACAAGGCCCGGTACGGAAAGGCCAGTAAAGTTCTCACATACTCGTCTACTCCCTCCGTAAAAAAAACGCAATTCTAGCTTTCGGACACGACGCGTGTCTGAACAGAACTAAAATTATATTTTTTTTCGAAGGGAGTAGGCCTTTATCTCCGAGCGTGGCAGCCCATATAACCGGCGGCAGCTGTGGCGCACAGACCAGCGAGTATGGAAAACTGGAAAGGACAGGTTTCCAACATGCCCAGTGATTAGTACGGTGCCAAAAAATTGATAAGTTTTAATTTTTATTATGACTTAGATATTGAGAAGTGTGACTAACACTAGAGTTTTTATAGTGACTTGTTGTTTAATCACTTAAAACAATCTAGAAATACTTAACGCAATTGGTGTCGAGATATGTAAGCTCGGCGCCAATTGTCACGACGTCGAGATCGAGGTCTATTTTTAAAAAAATACTGTCATGGACGTATTTGTGAAAATCTTTAAAAAAAGGCTGAAAAACAAAACATTAGGTGCGCTCGTGGCAAAAAGACACCAGTGCTCAGTGTCGAAGTCTCTAGCCTTGGCTTCGAAGGAAACCGTGCGCCCGCGCACAGCTCCTCGACAGCGGCTCTCCCTCTCCACGTGATGACATAACGAAAGCTCTCCCCGCTTTGCGGTACTTTGCTTGATGCTTTTGCTCTCTCGGGCAATCTCCACAAACCGACATGCATGCTCCATGCTAGTAAGTGCCAGACTGCCAGCCCTTGAACTAATGTCCAAGCAACTATTGACAAATCCGTATCTATCCACCTTTGCCCATGATCGACAGCACAAATGCAGAATTACACGTGTGTGTATGTGCGCGTGAATATGTCCTTCACAGTTGTGCATTGCCACTCAGAAATACGACGATGGATGACAGATGGAAGGGAGTCATTTCTTTTTTATGCTTTTACTTGTGGGATCAGTATGCAAGATCCAAAAAGCATCGCTATTTCAGAAAGTTGATAATTACTTATAAACTATTAAAAAAATTAAGTTCTCCGACTCAGGTCATCACTCTTCACCGCGGGCCTCGGTCGAACTCTTTTCCTTCTCCCGCCCCTCCGTCAAAACGTCGTACGTTCTCGATTTATTACCGCCTAACCACCGTTGTCAAATTAAAAAATCGTCAAAAATTCCCTCAAGGCCTACCTTATGTTTGAATATGTAATTATTTTTTTTAGTATCTTAACGATCTCAAATGAAAAAACTAAAAACTAGAAAGTTATAATATTTATATAAAAATTATTTTCATTTAATTCTGTATAAAAAAATGTGATTTTTCTAAGACATATTAATCATATCAAATCTTTTTTTTGTACGGAATTAAATGAAAGATACGAGCGCTACCAGAGATGCTTCCGCCTCGAAGGATTCCTCCCTTAGACATACCACAAGGGACGAACCACGATTTTTTACAAAAATTGTAGATATTGTCGAGATCTACAATTTTTTTTAGTTTTGAGTTTTTTTATTTGAGGTCATTAACATGCTAAAAAATTAATTGTGTATTTTAGCACTCTTGATGTCAAGACGAGATATTTTTTGAACTTTTATTTTTTAGCTTACCCATGATTTGACAGTTATAATATTTATATAAAATTATTTTCATTTAATTACTCGTATGACTAAATCATTAATCATATCAAAAAAAAATGTACAATGAAATGAAAGATAAAAAAATTGAGTTTATTTGAGGTCATTAACATGCTAAAAAATAATTGCATATATAAAACTCAACTTTTTTAGTGACTTATATACAATTACCCATTTTTATAATGATACACGGTCTTTTTGAATGGAAGCGAGTCATGCAATGCAAGATTAGGCTAGAGTTGTTGGAAAGCATGTCACTATCGGCTTGCACATTTTGCACGCGTACGCTTGACCACGGGGTCGCTGTCAGTCAGTCAGAGTCAGTAATCCCCTGCGCAAGCGATTACCATGAGACTGCCCAAGCAACCAGTACATCGTTTCTGTGGCTTATAAGGAAGTGTTTAGCTGGTATGAATCCGATACTGTTTATGCTGGAATTTATTGTTTATGCTGAAATATTATGAGAGAAAATACTGCTTCGCTGGAAAAAAAAAACGAAACAAGCCAACCAGTCAGCCAGCCGAACACTCCCTAAGTCGGCTGGTGTTATTTTGAGTGTGAGAGAAAAATATTATATTATATCATAATTTATAAGTATGGCTGATACGATCGTGTTACAGTTCAACCGCTGACCTGGGGTCGTTGTCTCTTGCCCGATCCTTTTTTTTTTTGTCTGGGCGTGCTTGTGCTTGTGCGCGAGAACCCACCGATCAAGTAATGCCACACTGGCGGCGAGAAGCATCGATCCAAGCCGTGCAGCCAGCTCAGACAACTTCATAGGTGGGCACATTCTTAATTCGTGTTAAGGGCTGTTTAGAACGCATGAATTTCATGAGAATTATGTAGAAATTTTATAGAAATCAATTTATTTTCGCAGGAAAACACACATGAACAAAAAAAAATTCCCGCGTTTCAAATAGTAACCTAAGCTTACTTGATCAGATGCAAAAAAAAAATTTGAAACGAACGGAAGGATCAGATGCATTGTTCACTCAGCATCTGCCAAGAAAATAATAAGAAAAATAGTAGTGGTAATAAACTGGAACAGCCCTGAATCCGGGTCAAACCCGGACTCAGCGCCTCGAGTCTCGGCTGGCAGGTGGCAAGGATGATTAGCTACTGTGCTATCATTGCCTATACGTACGCACCAACCTAACATGCGCTTGCTGTCAACCACTCAACTGCTTGGGCCCATTGTTTAAGACCAAAACAGAGCAGATCAGGTTGTTCAAACAGAGCAGGGATTTGAACAATCTCATGTGAATACTCCGTTTTTCCCATTTGATTGATGAAAGAAAAATTACTCTAACCTGCAAAAAGTGCAAACCAGATACGCAGAGCGCGGCGCCGCCACGGTTTTAACGCTTTTCCTCAGCTAGAAGTAGAACGGCACTGCGTATATATCCAGGAAATTGCATTAACTGACCGAGATGGATGCAGGATGCTGCTGTCCTGTCCTATACTAGGTACTTCCGTGTTCTCCCAAGGAAGATCGGCGGCGGCTTTTTACGCGGGGCCGATCTCGTCGTTCCACGGTCCATCCCGCCCGCGCCTGCGCGGCTCGACGGCTCGTGACCGCGTCGGTCCGAAACCGAAAGCACCGCGAAGGAAAGCGAAGAGCCCGGTCCCAGCGGTGGCGCGCAGGTGGGCGCCGCTGCAGAGACAGCGAAGCAGAAGAAGCACAGGGAGCGCTCCGTCCCCACTGGGGCCTTGGTTGGATTGTCTCAAAATTTCAAATTTTTTTACTCTCTTTCTATCATATTAATTCCAAGTTTTTTTACTCTCTTTCTATCATATTAATTTTTAGATATATGCATAAAATATTAAATGTAGGTAAAAAAATAACTAATTACACAGTTTGATTGTAAATTACGAGACGAATCTTTTGAGCTTAGTTAGTTTATAATCAAACAAAGTTTGTCAAATACAAATAAAACGTCTTCACAGTATCTAGATCTTAAAAATTTACGATCTAAACTCGGCCTGGGCCACCTACTCCAGCTCGCCGGGCTCGTGGGTTCCGGAAGAAACAAGAGGAAAGCTGGAAAATACTATTATAATAGTAATTCTAAAAAACAACTCGCGAAAGACGACCAAACCCAAGTTTGCAAACCCAGCAGCCGCCGGAGTGGGCAGACCGCGAAGAAGAGGCCGCCAGGAGACGCCGACCTTAGCCGCCGCCACCGCACCAGGCCCCGCGGAGGCAGGCAGGCGAGCGAGCGAGCGAGCGCGGGTCGGGTCGGGGCGGCGGCGGGCGGGCGGTGCGGCCATGTCGGTGAGTTGCGGGCTCGAGTGGGTGGCGTGCCTGGGCTGCACGCGCTGGGCGTGGAAGCGGCTCACCTACATCGGCGCCTACGACAGCGAGACGTGGCCGCCGGCGTCCCGCGACGAGTTCGAGGCCGTCCCGCGCCTCTGCCGCGCCGTGCTCGCCAACTACGACGAGGACCTGTCCAACCCCAAGTTCGCCCCGCCGGAGCGCGGGTACCTCGACATCGACCCCAGGGGCATCGTCAAGCGGGCCACCTACGAGGACGTCGGCAACGCGTGCCCGCCGTATCTTATCTACGTCGACGAGGCGCACAAGGAGATCATCCTCGCCATCCGCGGCCTCAACCTCGTGCGCAACGCCGACTACAAGGTTAGTGCCTGCCTGTCTGCCTGACATCGTCCAGCTCGCGAGCAATCGCGCGATTAGCCGTTCCATGAGCAGCAGGGCGGTATTTGACGGGTTTGTTGCCGCGTCACGAATTCGTTCCGCAGGTGCTCATGGACAACAAGCTCGGGATGCAGATGTTCGACGGCGGCTACGTGCACCACGGCCTGCTCAAGGCCGCCAAGTTCATCCTGGAGCGGGAGACGGAGACGCTGCGAGACCTGCTGCGCCGCTACGGGCCCGAGTACAAGCTCGTCCTCACCGGCCACTCGCTCGGCTCCGGCATCGCCGCGCTCATGACCGTGCTGGTGGTCAACAACCGCAAGGAGTTCGACAACATACCCAGGAGCCGAGTCAAGTGCTACGCCCTCGCGCCCGCCAGGTGTATGTCGCTCAACCTCGCCGTCAAGTACGCGGACGTCATCAACTCCGTCGTGCTCCAGGTACGCCGTACGCACGGGGGCGCGTTTGACCATCTACCTTAAGGTGGTTGCTCCGTGCTGTATTAGGATGTTGCCATGGACTTCTCCGGATGTGGATTTGCCGCCTTTCATGAACAATTGCCCTGTTGGGATGGTTTATGGGGAGGGGAGGGGGAAAGGGGATCAATCTGATCAAATGTGCTTTGCTTGTTGTTGCCTCATTGGGAATGTCTTTGAAAGGTTAATTAGTTTGATTAGACAGAACGGAAGGAATCATTTAGTTTTCACGTGCTAAAGAAAGGTTGTTTACAGGAGGTTTAAGTCATATCTGTCGACTGTCGATCATGAAATGCAATGTTCAATTTGAGGAGCAGCCTGTACCAGTAAATGTACCCTGCTTTCTCATTGCCCCACAACGTGATGAATTTGTTTCATACAGTAAGTTGAGTTGATAGGGAGCATGGTTTATATTTCTGAAGAAACTTAGATAGCGCACTTGAATATATTATATATACTATTTGTGTGTGCTTCAAGTCTGCAATTACCAATGTTGGTTGTTGCTCTGTTGCTGTCTTGTTTATTCTGAATAAATGAACCTTTATGAACTCAGCCAATCATATGTTGTCAATTTAATTGTCATCTCTGGTACTAATCAAATCTTAGTCTCATCTGAAGTCTTTGGCTTACTTTTTGGTGTCTCTTCCAGGATGACTTTTTGCCAAGAACACCGACACCACTAGAGTACATTTTTGGGTCTATCTTCTGGTAACTAGATCATTTTCTCCAGATTCTTATGTATTTCTGCTCTTGTTTAGGAAAAACAAAACAACTGCATGTATGATTGAGTTTTTCACCAGGCCTTTATGCTTTGGACAGCTTGCCCTGCTTGCTATTCCTCTTCTGCTTGAGAGATACATTTAAACAAGACAAGAGAAAATTTAAAGATCCAAGAAGATTGTATGCTCCTGGGCGAATGTATCATATCGTTGAGAGGAAATTTTGCAGGTAATGTATCATATCATTGCAAAGAGTAGCTTCCCCTGCGTGCTAATTGCTCGTTTCTGTTTTTATATCATAAATAATTTTAAAAAACAAACCTACTCTTCTAGTGTAAGGAAGCTCCTGCCTGTTTCTTATAATCCATACTACAGCCCTTTTTCATGATTTAAAGCAAGGATTGTTAGTCCTTGTTTTTTTTTCCTAGCAGAAAGCAGCAAAGCTTCAATCTGCTCGTGCATGAGAGTATGGAAGCTCCAATCATGTATTCTTCTATATTGTTTGAACAGATGAAGGCTACCTTGTCTTACTCAATTTCCTTACATTTCTGCTGGTCCATTACAACATGAAATGAATTACGAATATTAAGAATAAATAAGGTAGAGTTCAGGAGCCTAGTACAGATTAGTTGTTTCAAAATTGACGAGTTACTGGAGATTATCGGATAATATATCTTATTAGGGTCTATTACCATGGAATGTGATCCATGTCAGTACCTAGGTTTGATGTATGTTCTTACAGCACTATCTGCATAATACAATGCTAGAGATGTTTTATTTTACAAAACTTCTTCATTGTTGTACACAAAAAGTATGTTTTGATATTTTAATGACTACAATGCTACTCATCTGCAGATGTGGAAGATTCCCACCTGAGGTCAGAACTGCAATTCCAGTTGAAGGACGATTTGAGCATGTTGTGTTATCATGCAGTACCACGTCTGATCATGCCATTGCTTGGATTGAACGGGAATCACAGAAGGCTTTAGAGGTATATAGTCATTATACATATTGCAGGTTTATTTTAACAAATTTTCATGTATTTTCCCTTTTTTCTGAACTGGAATATCTTGTTGATTACACAGTTATCCAATTGCTAAATCTAGGCCATATTATATTTATGGTTGATATACCATTGTACTTACAAAAAATTGTTAGAAAATGAAAGGGAAGACCCCCGACCATATATATACTACAAATATCCAATATAAGGAAATAGTATCACAAGATACTAACTCCTAAATAGCGGAGGATCGACACGAAATTGTGGAACCATGTTTGCATGACTAGCTTATATGGTTTTGCCGTATGGAAAACCAAAGGAAAACTGTGCCAAAACTGTATTTTTCCAAGCATCTGTGAATAGTATTGTTTAGATTTGGCTTTACGTGTTACCCTTTTTGCTTCTGCTATTTCTCTTTTGTGTGCATTTTTCTTCCCTAAAAGCTGTTGTAAATTAGGATGTACACTTTTGCGTTCAAAAAAACATTTAGGAAGTACACTTTGTGTCGTCATGTTTTTTTTTTCCTTTTTGTAGTATATACTGCATTTGGAAGATGTCTACCTTTTACCAATATGAATTAACTTGGAAGATAAAAGGGTGAGCTACTTGCGAACAAAATATTCAGAAATGTACTCCCTCCATTCCAAATATAAGATGTTTTGGCTATTCTAGATACATAGATTTTGCTATGCATTTAGATAGACACTTATGTCTATATACATAGTTAAAGCAATGTATCTAGAAAAGCCAAAACATCTTATAATTTGGAACTGAACGAGTACATCTTTGTAGCAGCTAACTCAGCAGAGCTTCTATGTGCTGGAACTTGTGGTTACTTGCAGCAATGGTATGCTAACTTTTTCAGTGAAAATTTGTTATTGATTACAGATCTATATTTTTTTCGCAGCTAATGATGGACGGCAAGAAGGAAATGACTCCACCTCCGCAGCAAAAGATGGAGAGATTGCAAAGTTTTGAGGAGGAACACAAGAATGCTCTCCAGAGAGCAAAAACCCTGGATGTTCCTCATGCCGCGGACTTGTCTGAAGAGGAGATTCAGGAGGATGGTAGCACTGGACCACCCTCTGATACTCATAGCGAGACAACCACGGAAACAAAATCTGCAGGTAGAACGAGTTGGGACGAACTGATGGATAAGCTTTTCACCAGGGATGAAGATGGGAAACTTGTCGTGAACAAGGATGCCATGGCAAGGGAAATTACTGTCGAGTAACGACTGCCGAGACTGCTCTGCCCATGGTTTAGTTCATTCTATTAGCCAGCTGTATAAAAGAGTAAGCTGCGGTTGTGATATATCTCTACTACTTTTTTGGCTAGTGTTGAAAATGTCTTTTTGAGATCCGGTCATTTTTTTGGTAAACAGAAGAGGGATAGTACCAAGGTCTATCTAGTGCAGAGGCTTCATCTGTGTGCATTATTGGACGTTTGAAGTCTTGTAAATTTATTGTACATTGTTAGTGGCAATGGATTGCGAATTCAGAATTTTGTTTTGGGCAAAACTAAAATCCTTCTGAATCTGCTTTCAATGTTTTTTTTTCTTTTCATTTGATATAGGATGCGTGCTCGTTCACTTGAATTGTGACCAAATTCTGCAATGCAAGTCCGCTTCTCTTTTAGCCTTTATCATTTTATTTGCAAATAACAGAACTTATTATCGATTTATGCTCTTGCACGAACTAGAATATTATGAGACCTTGGACTAATCAAAATTTCTTTTCTTTGTGCACTCTATCTGTATGTTTATTTTCTAACACTATGCTCATATGGATACTATGTGATCTCTATCGGCCATCTGTGCATCCTCAGCATGCTGATGTTATGTTGAAACCGTAGTTTAATTGCAACCTACTATGTTATCTCTATCGCTCATCTCTATCCTCAGCATGTTGATGTTATGTTGAAACCTTTGTTTAATTGAAACCTACGTGTCATCATATGTTAATCTAGATTTTAGCTTTCAAATTTTAACCTTATTTGTTGTTACAATTTTTTATCCGCATTTTAAGTTAGAACTCCAGTGTTTGTCGTGACTTTTATTTAAAATCATCCTTTTTTATTTATTGAAAAAAATAGATTCTAGATACACTCCACTTTTATTTATTACAATTGATACCTCAACCTGTACCCATGATACCAATCGGGTCTGTAATCTAACAGATACACATGTTAGATATTTATGTATAAATTTAGGGCCCACGACTAATCAAAATTGATTATCTTTGCTTTCTCTCATTTGCTCATGTTTACACAATACTGATGTAAGTACTTTTATTTTATTAATATTCAGTTGTGGTAAACTTTAACTAACATGAAAACACCCTGTAACTTATAAAAACTAGGTATTCTACCCTTTAAAATATTAAAAACCATCTAGATAACCCTATGAGGCGGTTCTGAAGGTGATTTACTAACATGACATACTACATGGATGTTGACAGGACAGCAACAAACAGTAGAAATACATAACCTCTAACCTATCAAGAGCTGACTACGTAACCCTCTCTATTATAAAACTCAATATTATATTCTTTAAAGCATCTAATAATATTAGGATGACTACCTTGGATGGTTTTGTAGGGTTGTTTGGACACCATGTCCTACCACAATAGCCTAAGTACCCATGCTTATATGCAGCCTCATATGTTCCCTCCCTCCCTTACTCTTTCCAGGCTTGCCCCACCGCCCGAAGAGCAGCACCCGACCTCCTGTTTCCAACTGCACCTCATGGCACTCTTCAATGGCATTGAGCTCATGTACTGTGCCTATGCCTAGTTGTGAATAGGAGCTATTTCTAACTTTAAGAACCAAAGTTGGTTAACTTGGTTTCTCTGAACTGACTCTAGTTCTAAAAGTTTCATAAAAAACATGTTTTAAAAACCCAACTCTAAAGTCCCAAGAGGACACCATTTCGAGAAACCCAATCCACATTATTGCAAATTCGACCTACCAGAATTAACCATCTATTAGAATGGATTACTGGATTGACCTTCATTTCATCACTCCTCATTTTTTTGATTAATTTTGTGATTTCTAATGCTACAATGCATTTTTGGGGACCTTTGAGATTTGTCTACAGGAATGGCGTTTAGGATCTTCTCAAATGAACTTTCATGGACATTGGAATCATCAAGCACAGAAGATGTAGCTAACCTTCGCCAATGCAAGCCTAGGGCGGAGGGAGGGGGGGGGTTCGCTGGCACCCCCAACCTCATGTGTGCTCCCTTATATACCATGCTAAATTAGGTACTAAATAATGACGATTAATACTACTTAGTTCTTTATCTATTTGATCTCTTTTGTGTTAATCTTTAATGACATTTATATGTGTAGGATCTCTAGTTGGCCTAGAGGGGGGTGAATAGCCCTGTCAAAAAACAAACACTCAAACTTGTATCAAATTCACCCTGCGGCACTGCCGCTCTAGAGGGCGGCACTGCCGAACCAGAACAGCGGCACTGCCGCACCTGCAGATAACTTTGAGTCACAGTTCAAAATCTGTGAACGAAAACTTAGATCGGAGAGATTTCCTAGCTTACTGCAAGTATGACAATCACAGATCAAGAGCTAGAAGTGGTAGAAACACCACTGAAAGGTCCTTGTGTGGTTTTGGTAATTGAGTGACAACTTAGGTGGACTAATTGTGTTTATGTGAGATACACAGGTGATTAGTCAACAGGTACATGTGTGTGAGCAACATATGCCATGAAGGTAAAAATGGCTTGGAGATGTTGCAAAGCTCACACATGTGATGATGAAGGAGCTCATTGCAAATGAGACATGACATTGAGTCATGTGATCAAGGTGGAGAAGATCAAGACAAGACTTGGCTTGATGGACCGGTTGCAAGCGTGAAGGGAAAGTCAGAGGCTTTGGAGCGATGGACCACGTAGCGGTGAAGCTTGAGCAAGACTTGGCATCGATGGATGAAGGCAACGGTGAAAAGCAAGTGAAGTCAAGATCGATGAATCAATATGATCACGTGATGATATGAAGTGGATCATATCATTGTTGATCATATTGGTACATGTGTTGCATCGACATTGGAGGAGATAGAATGGAATGCGCAAGGCAAAGGTATAACTTAGGGCATTTCATTTCACCGGTCATAGGTGTGTAGAGAAGTTGATAACCGGGTTTAGGATAGATGGCCGTACTATCAAGAGGGGCAAACTTGTTTGCATATCGGTCATCTAGTGCCACTCGAGTGATCTAACTTTGCATCGTCGCTAGGATTGAGTGGCGTGGCAAGTTGAGTGGCTAATCCTTTGGAAAATGATTGTGAAAAGCTAACACACATACACATAGTGGTGTACACTCGGTGGTGTTGGCACATTTACAAGGGAGATGAAGTTGGAGTTGATATGGATCAACTCGGCGATGAAAAGGAGGCGAGAAGGGTTAGGAACTCCACTGGCGGAGTGTCCGCCCGTAGAGTGCGGACAGTCCGACGGTGCCACCGGCGCCCTATACAGAAAAGACAGGGTCTCACAAAGTAGACCGGACACTGGTCACGTAGTGACCGGACGCTGGGGTTCTGCGTCCGGTCAGTGGCGGCAGAGAGCGTGCAGGCGTCGGTCTTTGACCGGACGCTGGCAGGGTGCGTCCGATCAGGCTGATGTACGGTGACGTAGGCGACGCAGAGAAGGAGGAGAAGGACCGGACGCTGATGATGCATCCGATCATGACCGACCGGACGCGTCCGGTCATGTCCGGTACCTTACTGGAAACGACCGGACACTGGGGTTGCTGCGTCCGGTCAGTTCATGCTGCTGTGTCCGGTCGTTATATGACCGTTGAGATCCAGTGAATAGCGTTTGAAGAAGGGGACACGTGGTGTGCATCGCACGACCGGACGCTGGGGTCCAGCGTCCGATCGATCGGACCGGAGCGTCCGATCGTCCCGACTTTTGCCCAGTGAAGGGGTAACGGCTCTATTTGTTCGTGGGGTTATAAATAGAAGCCATGGTCAGCCTTGGGCCGGTAGCTGAGCACACTAAAGCCTTGGTGGCTTGTATAGTAGTGCTTGGGAGCCCTCCATCTCACATATGCTTGATAGTGATCATCCGATTGTGTGAGAGAGCGATTCTAGTACGTTTGTATCGTGAGGTTGCATCGAGTGGCACTAGGTGATCGAGTTGCAAGCCGGTGGTGCTTGTTACTCTTGGAGGTTGCCACCTCCTAGACGGCTTGGTGGTGGTCTCCGTCGAAGCCCGCAAGAAGCTTGTGCGGTGCTCTGGAGAAGAGCTTGTGAGGGGCATTGTGCTCGCCCCGCGGGAGCCGCGAAGAGCAACTCTAGTAAAGCGTGTCATTGAGCTACCCTCACTTTCAGGTTAGGTTCTTGCGGTGCCCGATGTGCGGGCTTGGCGGGTGATGCCATTTAGCCGCCGAACCACCAAGTGAGCGGTCGACACAACGGGGACTAGCGTATTGGCAAACACGTGAACCTCGGGAGAAAAATCACCGTGTCAACCTTGTTCTTCCCGTTGGTTTGCATCCTCGTTACACAAGCTTGTTATTACTTTCATATACATTGTGCTTGTTGAAAGGATCAAGATGCCCAATATGGGGGGTGAATTGGGCTAATTCTAAATATCTTTGCAATAATTAAGTCCTACGGTTAGCCCAATTAACCCCTTGTGCCTAGAAAGTGTTTCTATTGAACTAACGCACAAAAGACTTGCAACCTAAGTTCTAATCCTACTCTAGCATGGCAATTCTATGAATGTAAGAACAAGAATTGAATTGCTCAAAGTAAATGCTCAAAGTAAATGCTCAAAGTAAATAGAGAGGAGAGGAAACGCGGCGATGTTTTGCCAAGGTATCGGAGAGTCGCCACTCAACACTAGTCCTCGTTGGAGCACCCGCGCAAGGGTGTAGCTTACCCTTGATCCGCGCAAGGATCAAGTGCTCTCTATGGGTTGATTCTTCGACACTCCATCGCGGTGAATCACCCACAACCGCTCATAATGTGAGTTGGGTCATCCACAAGCTCTTCGGATGATCACCAAGCTCCCAATCACCACCAAACCGTCTAGGTGATGGCGATCACCAAGAGTAACAAGCACGAACTCTCACTTGACCATGACAAGCCTAATGAGATGGGTGGATGCACACTTTGCTACTCTTGATCTTACTAGTGAGGGCTCTCTTTGGGATTATCAAATCTCAATCACCTCACTAGGACATTGCTCTTCTTGGCACTCTCAAAGGTGT